TTAGTTTTACTCTTCTACAGGAACAGTTAGGGACCAAAGTGAAAAAAAGTTTTTTCACCAAAGTTAAAGTGAAACATCTGTCCCCTTTCTGCACATGGGCGTTAGCGTGGTGTTGTGTTGCTGTGCATTTTGAGTTCTGCAGGCATTGCCGCTGGAATAGTGCCTCCATTGAAGTATTTTCAAACGCCCCTCAAATGCTTGTTAAATGCTCCTATAGCATTTAAGAAGCGTTGCACAGGTGATTCAGGAGAGGCATAGGAGGTTTTGCAATCCCAGAAACCTCTTGGGAATCATAGAGTGAGTGGATAGGGCAGGAGCAGATGCCACTTCCTTTCTGCACACAACCAGTGTTTGGCCAACAAGAGGACAGCTTCTAGCCAGGTACTTGCAACCTGTGACAGGTTGACCTATGCCACCTTGTAGTGCCAGCTGTTATCAGTGTCATCCTAAGCAGTGCCAGCCATACCAGTGGCAGCTTAGCAGTGTTAGCCATACCATTGCCAGGCATTGCAATTACCAGCCATGGTACGGTCATGTCTGAAATAAATGTTGCAGGGCTAATTCAGGTAGTTGAGCAATACCCAGAATTGTATGACCCAAGTCTGCCCAGCTACTGCGACTCCTTCAAAAATATAGAAGTGTGGCCACTGCTGGTCACTTACCTTTACCACATCACTTTACTCTTTAACAAACTCCCCTACTTGCAGGGCATTTTGCAAGCGTTTTTGATGCCTCCTTAATGCCTGCCGAATGCCTGGTTAACACTGTATGTAATCAGTTTCTTTTTCATTATATTCTCAATGCAGGTGTAAAAAAAAAAAGAACCCTTAGAGAGGCAGTTGATTCTGTTCGTTAATACTGAAATTTTGCAGATCCCAAATACTGCATTTGTTTGTCTCTAAAGTCAATTAGGGGAATTTACTAAGAGTGGAGCAGATAGAATGTGCATAATAACCAATCAACTCTAGCTTTCATTTCAATGATTAAGGTCTGGTTCACGCTTAGCGTTTTGTAGCACCTTTTCTGCCCTAAAAGAATGCTCAAAAAATATGCCCCCGACAAAATCCCATTCATTTCTAGGGCCCTGTTCAACTCTGAGCACTTTGTCGCAATAAGCAAAACGCCTGTCGCTGGAAAAAGTACAAGCTTTCTTTTTATACATATTACAGCTCATTTTGGCCCGATAGACTCTATAGGAAACGCGTGTTTGCTGTGTTATTCAATAACACCAATGAGCTACAATCTGCTCAGAAAAACGTGCATCTAAAAATGCGTGAAGAAACGCACAAAAAAGCTGTCGCCTAGGTGTGAACCCAGCCTTAATTAACAAAGTGAGGCTAGAAGCTGATTGGTTACTATGCACAGCTGCTCCAGATTCTGTCTGCTCCAGTCTTAAGGTGCCCATACACTTTGCTATCATCGGACGAAACTTTTCATCCGATGATCGAACCGTCATACCTTTTTTCGTACGGCGGCCACATCCTGCCCCGATTATCGCAAGGTTCAATCAGCTGTAGTTAAAAAAACACCTGAACGAATCGCGGTAATCGACTGCACGTATTTTTGTTTGCGCATGAGCGGCGTTAATCGTACAAATTTTGACTTAAGGAAAGGCCACCAACCTTGCGAAAATCCGACGATCGACCAAAGTTTTCTAACCTGCTGTATAGTCAAAAGTCAATCGATTGTACAGTATTTGTGGTTGTACACTGCCCGTCAACCTTACGAATATCGGACGAAAACGCAAGCGCATACAAAAATCCACTGATAATCGTAAGGTGTATGGGCACCTTTTAGTATTCTGCTAAAACTATTTTAGGAATTTAGTTTCTCCCTAGTGTTATCAGTGTGTTCCCATTTGAGAGAGACTTTATAGTAATTGCATTTGGGGATATTTTCTACTTTATACTCTCTTATAGTATTATGTTTTCTAATACTTAATGAACTATTTGATTACGTTGATGTGTTGGCCATATTATTTTTAAAACAATGAGCTCTAGAACACCTGAACCTGAAGTGTTTAATTACAAATTGCCAATGATAGTGCAAATGCACGTTTCTTCTAGCTGCCTAGTAACCCTAGCGCAGTGGTGGCGAACCTTGGCACTCCAGCTGTTCCAAAACTACAAATCCCAACATGCATCTGCGTCTGGGAGTTATGTCTGCGGCTGTCAGAGCCTTGCAATGCCTCATGGGACTTGTAGTTCCAAAACAGCTGGAGTGCCAAGGTTCGCCACCACTGCCCTAGCGCATTTCCACTTTTGCAGCCAAATTATCACATGTTCCCATTCACATAACATAAGTGAAAAAAATATTTAAAAAACGCTTCTTGCAGTTTAAATTGGTTTTACTTTGGTTAGGGTTTCTTGGCTTCTTAAGGGTTAATGTCTGTATTTACTGCTTTCTTAATGTTAGGATGAGTTGTGAGGGATGAAGGGCTTTTCCATTGTATGGTAATGAAGTTAATGAGAGAAGCACAATCCTCAAATTTCAGTCTTCCTATAAGGACAGATTACTGTGAAAGTGCTGAGAAAAACCTGGATTTAGCCATGTTGTCTGCTGCAACAAAACATCTAAAAGGTAAGAAATATTTTTTTTAATCATTTTTTGGTATGCTGTGTGAATAGAAACACATAGCAAACAGATAGAGGGGTTTTCTCGAAACAGAATGGAAATTATAGACTGAATTGGCATTATGGTAAACTACAAAGCCTGCAACTTTTTCAGCAGTTTTTCCAAGTGTGCCTGCCTCTTTGGGGAGCGGTAAAACTTGCAATTACAACTCTCTTTTTTAACACATTACAGTACCTCCCACTTATGGCCCAATATTTGACCAACATACAATTGGTCAAATACTGTGCTTTGTTTTTGCTTTGGAAAAAGTGGAGAAGGGCTAGGACCTCTGTCAGATATTTGCTGGTGCCTCAGAACATATTAAGGAAATTTCCCATTACTTCCTATCCTGAAAAAAGTTTTAGGAGATAAATAAAGGGCAGATAGTTTAAAGTCTTTGAGAGGATCTTATTTCTGTCTGTGTTTTTCTTTCATGTTTATTCTCCTCTTTTTGTCACAAAGATTAAACGTAATGGAAAATTTCTCCAATAGACAACAATTAAAAAAGCTGACAGAGATTTAAACCCTATCCAAATCTATTTATAAAACTTAAAGTGACACTAAACTCAGGAGTGAAATCTTAAAAATGCAATCATGTACCTTAACTATTAACAATACTGGCAGGCGTATCTACTATAAAATGTGCCTATGGCGTTCTACCCAGCTTCTGGCAAACAGTGACCTCACTGGTTGCCAAGAGCTCAGTAGGACGCTTGCCAGAGTGAAAAAGCTGTCTCTGTGGGTAAGCAAACTTTTGCTGATCCATGAAACGGACCCCCTCTTTCCTTTCAAGTGGCACCCAGGTGTGCCACGCGTTCTGGTGCAAGCAATCGCACAGCGGGCGGGGTGCGTGGCTGTGTTGCCATTGACTTCAATGCCCCGCCACACCTCCTCCTGCCCCTGAATGCAGGAAGCCGGCCGGGATGCGATTCATTGCTTTCTGGAGCCTGATTGCTCTGGCCGAGTTTAGTGTCACTTTAAAAAAACATTTTTTGGCTGGAGCTTGGCTTTAGTATACATTTCTGGCTATATGTGTTCAATTGCAACAGTTACTTCTTAATGAATAGATGATTTATCAGTGTTATAGTTATCCTGATAGTGTCTAGTGATTTGAAATCTACAATTAGCATATTTTTGCACAGATCAACTCAGCCTCAACAACAAGGCACACGGGAAACAATTGTTTTCTATGTGCCCTGTGCACATCATAATGCTGCCTTGAGGTGGATTGCAGTGCATTGCGTAAAAATACAGACAAATATCAGTTTTATGCAATGCGCTGCAACTCACCTGAAGTCCCTTTCCGTCATCGCTGCAGTGCATAGAAATTGGTAGGTTGTTTTTTGACATTTCAATAAAGTTAAAAAAAAGGAAGAAGAATGTAAACAGTGCCTTGTGTTGCAACAACACAATGCAACAAAGCAAGTCACTGTCTGTATACAAAGGACACCTGTCTGCGCAGTAAAATGACTGATTTTAGCAATTGGGCTGGTGTGAACGAGTCCTCATTGTTGAATTTGAAAGTAGCCCATATTTTTAAATTTTGTATATTTGGTTAAATGAAAATATTAAAAGCGTCTGTGTGACAATCTAAACAGGTCCCAAATCCAGTTTCTATGTAATGCCAAAGCCCCATAATGTAAAAAGAAAACTTCCTTTACCTCTCTGGAGTAAGCCAAATCCTCCTTCATGTGTGTCTCACATGCTCCCCCTCCCAGATACTACAGCTCCCTGTGTGAGAGTTTTAGCAGTAGAGGCAGTTCTGTCAATCCAGAAAGCAGTGTACAGGGCTAGGTATGGCAAGCTACAGGCTTGTGAATCAGCAGAGACAATGCTAATAGCCATGCTTCCCCTCAACTCATTCCACTTTAGTGGAATTCGACACAGACTATAAGAGTGTGACAATGCTGCCCTGACTTTAGGTGCAGTGCAGCAGCCTTGTCACCCAATCAGAGGAAGTTTCATAAGGTGGACTTTACTGGCAGGTTTAACAGGTATTTGTGAGACTTTGCAGAACAAATTTAGGTGCTGATGAACTAACAGTTAAAGTGGACCTTTATTCCACCCCAAACAATTTCAAGCAATCAGATTTTGATTTGAAGAGGAGACCTACTATGTCTCTTCTGCAGTAAAACCCTGTTACCTGTCTTCTCAGAAATTTGTTTAGAGTGTACACTATACTACACTCCACTGGAGAGGGAGTTAGTATAGGCAGACAAGTGTTGTGTGACACGTTTGACTTCTTCTAATACTGGTTCTACGTTAAGGGTTTTCTTGGTGGCCAGAAAACTATGTCCTAGGTTGATAAGGGTCCAAGCATGTGCTATTCGATTAATGTAAATTGTTGACCTCATTACTATAGAAACAATAATGTAGATTCATGTTTAGATTGTATGTGATATTGAATTGCTGATTTTGTAAAATAAATTCAATGGTAATTACTATGCTTTAAGGTCCTTTTTATCATTGTATCATTCATATGAATATGTCTTAAAAATGTGTCTAGTTCATAGAAAGTCAAAAGCAGGTATTCTATTAGTGTGACAGAGAATCTAGGGAGAGTGCGAGTCCCTCACACCTTTTTCAGCTGGTAGCTACTTTAAGAAGATGAGAACTCACTGTAATATGACTCCTGAGGAGAGCATTCAATTCCCGCTAAATTGAAAATAGAAAATGATTCTAGATTATGCAGTCATGTAAAATGCTTATAAAGTGAAGAGTTCTGCATTATATCACACTTATGTTAAGTAGATTGTCAAGAGCAGGGCACAAAATACTGAATGTCATGTTTTTGAAGATGGGCAAGTATTATTATAGTCTTTGCCCACTGCTGTCAAATCCCATGGTTGTTCTAAGAATTCTGACGTTTCCTCTGCAATCTGCCCAGGAATCCGGAAGTCTACAGTAGGATGTTCCCCTTTAGGGGGAATGTGAACTGCTGCACGTGTGTCTGGTGGGCAACCTGTTCCCTGCAAAAACTGAAGGAAATTTTCTTCAATGGACCCTTCTCTGCTAGGTAGCCGAAGCTCATCCTCCCCTGATCCACTCCTCTTAAAAAAGCAACCAACCCACCGTCCCAGCTCTTCACGGATTTGACGATTTAGGCAGCCATAAAAAATTGGATTAGAAGCAAAGCAAAGAAATCCCATCCATGTTACTGCCCATTCCAAGCGTGAGCCAGGTAGTGGAGGAGGAGAACGCAGTGCAGCATATAGATGGAAGCCAAAATAAGGTAGCCAACACAATAGGAATTGACCCCCTACTGCAGCTAATACAGCTGCAGCTTTCCCACCACTTCCTGAACCACCAGCATACACCCGCTGCTGGGGGCTTCCACGTGTAACTCCCGACCCTGTCACCATGGTGGACCGACTGCTGAGAGATTCTGAGCGTCTGTGCTGAAGTGATGTGTCCATCCATGTTGGAAGAGGCCCTTGATGGAGGGCAGCCACACGTGCCACCTTGAACATGCTGCAGTAGACAACAATTATGATAGTCAAAGGCAATAAGAAGTAAAAGGAGGAGTAAAAGAGAAGAAATCCTGCACGGAAGACACTGTTGCCACCTCCCTGGAGACTGCAATGTCCAGGAACAGTAGGATTCCATCCTAGTACTGGGATTAGGGATGTCACCAATGCCTTAATCCATACTCCAGCCAGTACCCAACTAACTAGTCCCATAGTCATTTTGACTTGATACCTCATGGGATGAACCACATAATAGTATCTCTCAATATTGATGGCTGAAATTGACAAAATGCCTGTGCTGGTCAGACAAACAGTCAGGAAGAGGTAGGCACGGCAGGCCATCTGACCAAGTCCCTGGCCTTCATACAGGGAAGTACCTCCACTTCCTGACAACATTGCCAAGGGCATAAGTGTTAGTGCAGCCAAGAGATCCACCACACATAAGTGGAAGACCAGAACAAACTTCCTGAGGGATGGAGTCTTCATGATGACCCCCATAACAGCCACATTCCCAGCTACTGCCACTAGGTCCATGAGAAGCATGATGAAAAGAGCTCCATAATGGGGATTTGTTGTAATATGTCTCCCTGAAGTATTGAAAGAAATGTTCCAAGTGAGAGAGGGAAGGGAGGTATCCATGAGAATGATTTGGGTAAAAGGTCACCATCACCCACTTGCTCACAAGACCATAACCCATCATCCCTCAAGACGCAAGGTGGGACCTGAGAGAATCAACAGACATGAAAGGGAGCAAGAGAAGTGTGGAAAGTAAATGAGGATCACAAAGGGTAAGTAAAGCAAATAAATATTTAAAAACAAAACAAAAACAAAGGTTGCCGTGGGGGAAAAAGATTAACGTAAACAAAATTAAGAAATAGAAGGAAAAGGGGTTAAAGGTTAGGTAAGGACAAAGGAAGAATGGGATAAAGGGGATCTGTTCAAATTTTGTCACATTTCGGGTAGATTTCGGTCACATACAGCTGTTTCTTGCACCATTACAGCAATATCCCACATCGTATTGAATGCATGAGTAATCATTACTGTGGGAATAGATACATTGCTGGAAGTTCTTCAAATGATTCTGCTTTCCCTGGGCTTGGTGGTCCTCCACACTTATAATGAATCCAATGTTATGGTTATTGTAATCCTCGCATATTACAGAAGATTACTACTCCACTAAATTGTATACCACAGTATGTCTCCATTGTTATTCTACAGGTGAGCACTTGATGATAAACCAGTACTGAGTAGTACCCTTCATTTAATTACATTTTCTTGGATTACATGCATTCTAAATGAAGAACATGTTGATGCAGAATTGAGAAAGGCCGACTGAGCTTAGTGTTTGCCCAGTAAGGAGTCTCTGCTTGTAGAGTCTTCATTCAGAGAGCTATTTTCTTTAAATCCAAACAGACTGCTCCCTGGCATTCTGCGAATGTATATGACCTGCATGGAGAAATAGGAATGGTTAATTCCATTTTGCCGATGCAAGAATTTTCAGTAATAAAAATGTTGCATTTTAACCGTGTATACATTGCAGATTCTGTATGTAGGTTTGTTAAAGAATCAATCTCTCTCTCTCTCTGCATGCATGACGTGTGTGGGTGTTTGCGTGAGACAGACAGGAATACAAACACATATACATATATATATATATTAGGTAGTTTATATATTTGTGCATATTTAATATATATTTGTACAAAAAAGAAGCTATATAATAATCATCATTTTTCCTAAACCTTTCCCCATGATACAGTCTAGATTCTCATAATACACCTCCCCCATACAGCACCTGCAAGTCTCTTTTCACCAAACACCTGCATATTGCTCTATTCCAAACCATATCACATCTATATATGTTTCAGAATGAACCTCATTGTCAGGATTTTTAGAGTTATTTGTAAAAACCACTTGTTTTGTCACATACCTGTCTGTAAGATCTGCAGCTACATCCAGGGAGCAGAAGACCAGAGAAGCAGCTCAGCCCCTAGCAATCTAATGCACAGCATTGCAGTGAGGAAGCTGACAGGCACAGGGTCCTATAGTTACTCCGTTTAGCACAGCCTTAACAAGAAGATGTCACAGTGCAAATCTCTTCTCCCTATTGCATTAGCAAGTCCTTGTTAACATTACAACACTCCATCCTCTATTTGTAATACTTGAATATTAAATGAAATCATGTGCTTTGATGCAGCAGATACACATTCTGGATGATTAAGGAAGCTGGTTCAAAAGCGAAGGATGGTCTGCAAAGTCCAACAATAAACGGCAACCATTTATGCAACCTTCAAGTTTTATTTCAATGCCATTTTGTTTTGTTTTGTATTGATAGTTAGGTAGTTCAAACCAGTGATTAATCTGAATTGGTACAAAGATAACGGATGGACTGCATGTATGTTTACTAAAGTCATACTGTTGAAAAATGTATTTGGTTTGGTTGCCTGCAGGTTTATTCAGTTTGAGCATTGTTATTTACCCTTTTCAATAAGCTTGTTAATTGATTTTGACATAATTAGATCAAGTAAGCTTCTCTATGCAGTAGCCTGAAAAATCTTCTGGTATACGAAATAATAGTAAAGTGTATTTTTTTTAATAGAAATCTTTCAGGCCCTGTTCACACCAGCCTTAGTGCGTTCCGGGCCAGATTCTGGCCGGAACACACAGGATCGCATTGCGACCAACTCTCTTTTTTGTGGTGAAGGAGGGTGCATTGCAGTGAATGGCAGAATGGCACCAAAGGCCTGTCCAGTCAGAAAAAATAGTGCTTGCAGCATTTTTTCTGACGAGACGGCAGGCATTGATGTGCTTTGCGTTCCCGTGCAGCCGATCGCATTATGGCTGGAGGGAGTGGCTACAGCGCCCCCTCCTGCCCCACAACAAAGTGAGCCTGCCGCATTGCGATCCAGTGTGTTCGGGCCATCAGATCCGGTCGGTCTGTCACGGTGGGAGATGTTGTGAAGATGGTGATGTTACTGCAAGGAGATATGGAGTGTGATTGTGGATACAAATCCCGTTTGGAGGGCTAGTTTCTGTCGTCAATTTAAATGTTTTTTGGCTAAAAAGCCCCCTATGTGATAGCAATCAAGTTAAAGGAGAACTATGGGGATCGCCTGCACCAGCGGTTGTTCCGCCACTGGGTCAGGGTTTTTCCCCATAGTTCTCCTAAGGGTCACAGGAGAACACAAACTAGCGTTCTCCCGTGACCCAAAGCTCAGTATACAGTGAACTACAGCTAGCGGTATACTGAGACGCCACAGCCGTCCGTTTCATTAGTCAGCGCTGGAGGATCGGACAGGGGAGGGGGGGGACCTTGCAGGGAGCCGTGAGTGACAGTTACGGCTCTCTGCAGGGATAGATCGAGAAGTAAGCGAGCAACGGTATGTGTTTGCTCACTTCACGATCTACTGAGCCGACCTGTGACAGTTTCATTGTAACAGGTCGGCTCAGATTATAAGGCTGAGTGAAAATTACTTGCCTCATAATTCTCCTTTTAAGTGTAAAAAAACCAAAAACGTTTAAAAAAAAAAAATTAAAGTCTCATATAAAAAAAAAAACACCCCAAAAATGTTTAAGTCCCCTGCCCCCGCGTGCAGGCACTTATAAACATAAATACGTGTCAAAGTGCGCCTGCGTGCAAAAAACGATTACGCTACACATGTTACATAACGCCGCGAACGTCGGAGTGTGAGCAATAATTCTAGGGCCATCAATCGCTGATAGCACTTAACTGATGAGCGGTAAAGGCATTTAAAGCTATGGCCAATTTGGGGCATGGTAGTTTTTTTTTCGATTTTGCGAGCGCACACAATTTTAAAGCTTGACATGTTTGGTGTCTATTTACCCTTCATATTTGAGCGATTTTTGAGCGGAAATCACTCTACAAAACGCTCACTGTGAATGTGGTCTGAAACTTGTGCTTACTTGCAGTTGGAGACGTAGAAACTGACTTTTTTCAGCAAACTCAACTCGTCGAACAAGCAGTAAGCACTAGTAATAGGCTCGGGCGTGTTTGCAGCTTCACATGCCGAGCCCGCCTGGAAGCTGACAGCACGCAGCGCCAATCACAGGTACTGAGACATGTTCCCGGTCCGCAGCTGCAGAGATCGGGGAATGTCTCAGTGCCTGTGATTGGCGCTCCGGGCTGTCAGCTTCCTGGCGGGCTCGGCACGTGGGGCTGCGAACACGCCCGAGCCCATCACTAGTAAGCACCTGAGGTGGTAAAGAACCAATATATAGGTAAAGGGAAATGAGAGGCTTAGGCTGCCCATACATCTTGCGATCATCGGACGACACTTTTCGTGCGATGATCAAACTGTCGTACGATTTTCGTACGGCGGCCCCATCCTGCACCGATTATCAAAAGGTTGGATCAGCAGTAATTAAAAGAAAGCACCTGGACAAAATGCAGTAATTGACGAATTGCAGTATTTTCGTCTGCGAATGTGCAGTGCAGATCGTACGAGTTTTGATGTATGGAAACGTCACCAACCTTGCAAAAATGGTACGATCAACCAAAGTTTTCTAACCTGCTGGTTAGTCAAAAGTCAATCGATTGTACAGTATTTGCGATTGTACACTGCCCTTCAACCTTACAAATATCGAACGAAAACGCGATCGCGTACGAAAATAGGCAGATATTCGTAAGGTGTATGGGCACCTTTAGACAGATTTTGGCCAGCAGGAAAACAGACAGGTAGACAGACAGGGCTTCTAACAAGATTGTAGCTCCAGTTGGGTATTAACCGCTAATCATATCAGATCTAACTTTATCCCAGATCTGCTGTAGGGATGTAGTTCAAACAATGTCTAATTTTTCCTGGATCCTAGCTGGACATCTTAAACTCCTTCCCAAAGCACTTTCCGCTTCCTGAGACCAGTGGATTGGGGAAGGGGTGGGGGAGGGGTACATAGACATGTGGGAGGGTTGCTTTAATCCATTTGATTAGGTTCTTTTGTCTTGTCTGGCACTTTGGGTGTCTGAGTGTCTATCTGGCATACAATGACTGGTGGGAGACATATATTTAATTAGATGTAATCGAATCACTCTGTCAAGATTGGACTTTGGTGTCCGTGTGACAGGGAATTGCACAGGAGATAGGAAGGTTGATTAAATTATATTAAGTTTGATATATTTTTTTTCCCCAGCATGTTGTCTGAATGCCTCTGTGACACTCTGACACCTTCATTAAATCAAATCTTTAGTCCCAACGTGATGTCCTACATAACCAGGGTAATGTGTACAAGGTAAGATGTGGATAACGAGAAAGGTAATTACTGATTTCAGTGGAAATTATAACTGTACATATATTTTGGTACCACACCCTCTACCCTCTGTTGCCCCTTGTTTCTTTATATGCACTAAATTCTATATTGACCAACAATATAGCATAAAATAACTTTGAGTTCTCTCTAAAGCAACATGATGTTGTGTATTCTTTTACCTCCAATGTAAAGGGTTTCTTAAAGATGACCGCCAAGCAATCGAATATGCACACTCCTGGCTTCCACTCCACCATATCTCTTATAATTGCAATTTTTAGAGGAAAAGGTAAATAAAGAGTTAATTATTTTACCGATGTCTGCAGTCACGTAATGCATAACAGCATGATTCCGATATGAATAACGTTAGTCTTTGGGAGGGTATTGCTTGCTGTGTCAATGTCTTTTACAGGTCATTGCCCACACACGTCAATCATACTAGCTACTCATGCATTAGTTGGAATTTCTGTGTGCTCTGGGGAATGCCCACAACAACTGGGCTATCGTGATGCAAATCACAACCAACAGGAG